CCTCCCCTCCAGATACGAACACAGTCAGTTCAGGGTGGTGGGGGCGGGGGATGAGGGGTTCCAGACCAGGACTCCGATTCCCTAGGGAGAAGTAGGGGTACAGCTGCTGCCATAAAGGCCAAAAAGCCTGCCTGGAGCGCTCTGGAGAGAGCAGAGAGCGCAGGCCGTGCTGCAGGACTAATTGGCGCGGGGGAGGAGGGTGCTGCTCGCATCCAGCTCCACTGCGGGTCGTGACTGCCGCCTGGGCCCAGAGCGCCACTCCCACCCCCCGCCTCGCGGGGGCCCCCAAGGGGCGGATCGGGGAGCTGAGGCCTCTTTCCTCCCAACGCAGTGTTTATGAGAAATGAAACTTCACAGAGCATCAGCAGCAGCCTAACCTGACACCCTATTCCAACTCGGGGTTCCGGAACAGCCCGGAGCGCTGGCAGGACCCCCTAGTGTTTTCCCAGCGAGCTGCAACCTCCCACTCTGCATTTAGGATTTTTATAACTGCATAACGTTTATTCTGCTGTGTCATACAGCATTTCTGCCAGAGCGGTGAGAGAAGAGAGGCCCCAGCATATCTCCAGGGACAACCTGAGGTTGACCCAGAGCTGGAGTGCCATTTGTATTTGTTGAATGAATTAAGAAACTTCCTTTCTCCCTAACTAGGCTACTTTCAGGAAGAGTAAAGCTGCCTGGATTCTATCGTCAAGCTTTTGGATGCTTTCAGATGATTTTATGCCTAACTGCACTTCACAGTTTAGGACTGCCTGCCTCCCATGTTTGCTGTGAAAATAAAGATGATGCCTGGGAGGAACTTTGAGTATCTAAGACAGCCCTCCCCCTGGACCTGGAAGCTGGAATGCCTGCTGGGGGTTCCTTTGCTTTGAGGATTGTGGCCTCTTCTCAGAGTAGCTGGCCCAGCGGGCGTCCAAAGCTGTCCTACTCTCAAAAATTTAGTTAAAGCCTCAGTGGTCCTACCTCAGGACTAACTGGACCACTGGGGGGGGGGGGGTGTTCTGAGGCTGAGAAGAGAATTTGGTCCATCAGGGAAGAGGCTCCCACAAGAGTGATCTTGCCTCCAACATGTTGATCGCCAGACAGACAGCCCCTCCTGCCAGCCTAGAAAACCCCAGGGCCTTATACAGAGAAACCGCCCAATAAATTTACCCTCAGTGAATGACAGTATAGATGGGAGGCATCCTGTGAGCCCCTGCTTCGGAGATAAGCCCCAGCTAACTCCAGTGGTAGGTGTGAGGAACTCAGGTCTCTTGTAGAAAAATGCAGAGTTCCCCAGAAGGTCACCACCCAAAACGTGTTAAGTGGAGAAAAGGCAACATGAAAGTTAAGGGTGAAGGGGTCCTGAGGAGGGGAATGACTTGCTCTGGGCCCTAAAATGAAGACTGAAGGGTAGTGAGACAGGAAAAACTAAAATTGGGGGGGTTGGAGTGAGGAGCAAATGGAAGTAGCAAAGACATGAAGGGGAAAATACATGTGCTCACAGAATGGAAGTGCAATGAAAGGTTCGTGCATTTCTATTAATACTGTATGTCATTTGACTAATGTTTTATAGTTTAGAAAGGAGTTTGACAGTCTATCAAATTTCATCTTCACAAGAATTAGGAGATGGACTAAAGGATTTCTGTTTTACAGATTACACTGAGGCTCGGTGAGGGACAGTAACTTGCCTAAGGTCATATAGCAAATAGCAAAGGTACAAAAACCCAGGCTTTTGGATTCAGATTCTGTGTTCTTTCCACCGCCCTCTAGTTACTGCCAAGAGTAGGGTTGCTGTGGGAGAGAAGGTTGGAATGAGACCCCTGGGATGAGAGTGAGCATTGACTTGATTGTGGGGCTGAGAAAACGGAGAACTGAGAAGGTTCCAGGGTGAACCTGGATGTTAGGGAGATCATCAAAGTTAGAGAGATGACCCTAGTGCAGAGGCACCTGGAGGGTCAGGCCACACGGAAGGCTTAGCAACACAGTCTGGTCCTTGAATGTGAAAACATGACTTGGCTCAAGGAAGGAAGACCTCAGAGGACCAGGTGAGGCGAAGGGGGTGGAGGATGGGAAAGACTTCACCAGGAAGGGAGCTGAAAATAGGACAAGAGAAAGCTGCAAGGGTAGGCCAGGAATTCTGGCTGAATGTGTGTGACTCTGTGGATAGGGTTGTAGGGAAGTGTCCAGAAGTCAGCCAGAGCCTGGGTTTGGACATCACCTGTCCAGAAGAGATGCCTGGAATCACAGAGGATGCGTATTTTGAGTCAGAGAGGGGAAAGAGCCAGCCCCGAATTACTAAGAAAAACCTGGGGAAGGCTCTGTGTTCTGCTTAGCATTACAAGGAATATGTGATACCTCTTAGAATGGGATTCATCAAGAGCAGTTACAATAAAAATTTGAAGTACTTCAACAGGATATAGCTTTATCTCACCTATTTGGAGTATAGCACTCCCAATCCTGATAATCAGATTCTCTTATAGGCTTCAAGATACAATAGAATCTCTAAAGTTAAAAGTAAAAAGAAGTCAAAGAACACAGAACACTTTGGAGATGTAAATGACAATTTCATTGGTAAATCCTAACATTGGGGAATTTCTTCTCCTAAGCAAAAAATTATTGATGTGTGCAAAGATTTAGCTACACAATGTTTGCATTATGAAAAAATGGAAATAACCTAAATGTCCTACAATAGGGGATTAATTGGGTAAATTTTTATTTATCCTTATGGTAGAATAATATGTACCCATTGAGAATGATATTGTAGAAGTACATTTCATGACATGGAAAGACACGGATGATTATAAAGTTCGTGTTTTAAAGCACTTTTTACAGTCTCCTGTTGCCTTCAGAGGGACATTTTGGTCAATTTCTCAGACCACATGAGATGCAAACTTCCTCTCCCTAATCTCGTTCTGAATTTTCCAGTGGCTATGTCAGGTTCTTAGGGACAGGACAAGCATCCGTTTGCAGTGCAGAACAGACTTCACAACTCAGGATCCAGTTGTTTCTGCTCTTCTTGCTCAGGTCTGTAGTGGATTCCCATTCTCTGTCACTTAAAGCACCTCAATCCTTCCAGGCTCTCAGCACCTCCCATTTTACTTAACACTCAACTAGGCTCATTCCTCACAGTTTCTCCTGCCTCTTTGCCTCTTCCAGCCCCTGCACCCACTACCAGAATAGGTTTAACCCATCCGTTCCTCCCTCTTTGGGAGGGAGACAGTAGAGTGACTGGCAGGTAGAATGCTGCATCAATGTGTTTATTTAGAGCCTGCATCACTGCAACTGGGTGCTGCTGTGGAGGGAGAACTGGGGTGAAGGGCCTGACACAACCAGCCCTACCAGGAAGAGTGATTTAATTGAGTCAGCAGCTTTGGGGAGGTGAAGCAAGGAGTCTGCTGGGCCAGAGTTCTGGATGGAAAATGAACACAGCTCAGCCTGCAAGAGTACACAGGCAAGGCAAGGTCTAGTTGTAAGCACAAAAGTTAACTAGCTGCCCTTCCCAAATGGCCTGGGACCTGGGCTCCCCAACCCTTTGGCTTGATCCATGGCCTTGGCCAGCCCTAGGAAATGTCCCCTTGCTGCCCAGAACCTGCCAAGCCCTGAGGACCCAGAGACAACACCAATACTGACACTGAGGAGCTCCCACGCAAGGGCCACCTGAGGCTGTGGAGGTGGCCTAAGGCAGGAGTGTAAGGAGGGACCAATGCTACCCCCCCATCCCAAATTAGTAGTCCTGGCTTCTCTGAAACCCTTCTTTTCCCTTTCCCTAAGGCCAGTTGTGGGGCAGTATCAAAGATGTAGACTGAGAAGGAGGAGAGGTGTTAGGCTCTGGCCAGGGATTTCACAAACCACATAGCATCTGCTGCCCAACTGGGGCATGGTGCTTTACAGATATTATCTCTCTGTCACTGTAAACCAGGGAGGTAGGGCTATTATTTTGTAGGTGAGGAAACTGAGGTCTGGAGTCCCTTGGTAGGCTGCGCCAGCAGTGGCCAGACGGATTTCCTCGCGCCCCGGCAGCCCCAGGCAGCATCCCGGGCAGAGCAGGCTTCTCTTTACTTCCCCAAGGCAGGTGAGTGACCTGGAAGTGGGTCACCCCTCAAGGAGGGCCACTGTGAGGTCTGAGACCCTCTCTTCTTGGCATCCAATTAGCGGGCTTGCGGAACCAGGATGGTTTTCAGGAATTCAATCCCGGTGTCCACTCTGAAGAAGATGGCAGGTGTCCGGGTGACCTCATCGCCTGCGCTCCGGAGACAGACAGACGTCTTCACCCGCGGGAGAGGAGGGAGAGGAGATGGCCTCTGGAGCTAACAGACTGGGAGAATGCGGACTGGGGAGTAACTGTGGGCCGGGAGCGCTCGGCTTTCCTGGACAGCCTTTCTTGGGGACGAGCTGGGGTGGGGGTGGAGAGGGAGCTAGCCGGGCGGCGGCGGAGGGGGTGGGGAGGAGCAGCCGCCCTGTACTTCCCCTTAGTCGCTAGCTCTACAACAGCCTGATTTCCCCGAAATGATGGGGCGGCACCGGCCAATAGGCGCCCTCGCGGCCCTCTCGGAGGCGGGGCCGGGCCTGGGCTGGGGGAATCCCGCTAAGTGTTTAGATTGCTGGCCGGCGCCGCTGCCCCGGCAGAACGCGCCACTCCTTCGTCGAGGTAGGACCTGCGTCCGAGCTCGCCGTGCAGAGGCCAGCGGGATCCGTGCCCAGCCAAAGCCAGTCGTGCCCAGGGGCCCCGCGACCCGGGCATCTTCTACCTTCTCCCTGCTGCCATCTGAAATCGCGCTCGCCGCGTCGGGACCCTCCGGCACAGCCGCCCAATTGCGCCCATTGCAGAGGTGAGCCCGCCTTCGCCACGGGGGGCACCGGTGGCAACGAACAAAGGCGCGCGGGGCACCAGGAAGTGGGGGCTGAAACCCCCCGGCGGGAGAGTCGCGAGAGCGCGGTGTTGCCCGGCTCTCCGCGCGGGCTCGGGAGGGCGCTGGAGGAACGGCGGGCTTCTGCGCGGGGAGGGCGGGCCGCGTCGTGGACCGCCTACCGGCTGAGGTTGCGGGCCACCGGCCGCTTTTGCAACGCGCAGAGCCATCGGGGCCTTTAGTTAGCCGAGTATGTTCCTTACGCGCATCCACAAGCTGTGCCGGGTACTCGAATGCACGTACGTGTGTGGGTGTTCTGTGCCGTGTGCTCCACGCCCAGGCCCCAGGTTTCAGGCTCTCTATGGCTCTCTATGCAGGTGGCAGGGTTTGGGACTTGCTGAAGGACCTGCCAAAGCAGCGGGAGGAGGCGCTACAGGTGTTTGGTTCATTTCACTGCCGCGAATGCGAGCCAGGCTAGAGGGATTAGGGTCTCGGCCTCTGCACTGTTGTGGCTGCCAGGGAGGCGTAGAATAGATGGGCGAGGGTGGGAGAGAGGATGTCTTCGGTGCAGGTTGCCCATTAGGGAAAGCGCACAGCTAGGGGCAACACCTCAAGTAGTGAAATTTCTTGGCATCAAGCAAAAGAAGCCCCTCCCTTTCCAAAGGATCTGAATTTGGGGAGAAAAGTTCGGGTATTAAGATACCCGTGTATTTTGTCTCTTTTTCCTGCACGTAAATCCTGCAACTATCACTTACATGCCTGTCTCCTCCCAGGACTGTCCAGGAGAGGGTGAGGGAGGGGGTGCTCAAGATGCTGAAAAGATTTGGAGGGCAGTTTTATTTCAGCAAAAGCCTCCTTCCCCATGATTGTAGTACCTGATACCTGGTTGAGGGCAGGGGAAGGTAACTGAATGACTTGGGTGGGGCAGAGTAGTGCCCAGGGGCTGTTCAAACAGACTCAAACGGAAGCCTTCTGTCTTCTCTTTACAGCCAACATGCCCATCACTCGGATGCGCATGAGACCCTGGCTAGAGATGCAGATTAATTCCAACCAAATCCCAGGGCTGAGCTGGATTAATAAAGTGAGTGTAACTCTTTGGGTTTTTCTGCCACATTTTAACACATGTTCTTTGGGGGACCAAAGCTCAAAAAGGGAAGTGATAGGGAGGAGGCAGATGTGTTTCCTAGTGGGTCCTGCATGCAGGGAGTGTGCAAGGCCCAGCCCTGAGCCCCACTTGCCTGACTTCTGCCTCATTTCCTTCTTGAGGTAAGGACAGGGCACTTACCTGAGGTCACTCAACATCTCCGGCAGCTAGACTCTCCCAGCATCTGAAGAGTTGGAGTTCTGTTCTCTCCTGAGGGGGACCCATGCAAATACACAGAGCAGGGCTCCAGTCAGATGGCACTGCCTGTAGGAAGGTGACTGGCTCACTAGGTGACCCAAGAATTAACGTTGCACCAGTTGCCTAGGCCCAAGAAGCCCCTTGCTGGTGCATGAAGGGCAACACAGACCCTGCAGACCTAGTAATAACAGTATTCATAAGAGTAGCTACTGCTTACTGTTCACTCACCATAAGCCACTGTGGCACCATGCCAAGTATGTTACTTACATTGTGTCATTTAACCTTCAAAATAACCCTTTAGGGTAGATCCTTTAACATTTCCATTTTCAGATAAGGAAATTGAGGCACTGAGAAGTACATAATGACTTTGATGCCAAGACTTGAACCTGGGCAGTCTGACTCAGAAATCCATACTGTTAAACCACCAATAATGAGAACAGCGAGAAATTAGTCTTTATATTTGTCACTGTGTTCTCATTTCATAGAAAACAGTGAGAGACAAAGGGGTAAAGTGACAGTGCCAGGGTCACAAAGGTAGTCAGTCTGCATCCAAGTCTGACCCAGGGCTTTCTTAGGTGTATGGCCAGAACCCCCATTGTAGGAGCCAGTGGCCCCAGATGTCCTGAGCAGCCCCATCTAATGGACGGAGTTCTCATTTCCATGTTGGTGCTGACAAGCCAGAGAAGCATCCCACCCAGCACATCTGTAACAGTCAGAGGGAAGTCTTTGCTGAGCTGATGGTGCCACAGCTCATCAGAACCCATAGCCCCTTCTGAGAGATCCAGAGTGATATAGCAGCCCGTTTAAGCCAGTCTTGGGATGGGTCAGCCCAAGCCAGCTGTCAGGGTGAAAAGGGAAGCCCGCCTTTTCCCAGACCTGGGAGGCTGAGCACACTTAGGCTAAAAGCCTGTAGTCTGAGCTGACACAACATTGTGTACATATGTGTGTGCTGTTCAGGAGGAGATGATCTTCCAGATCCCGTGGAAGCATGCTGCCAAGCATGGCTGGGACATCAACAAGGATGCCTGTCTGTTCCGGAGCTGGGCCATTCACACAGGTATGTGTCTCCTGCCCAGGAGGAGCCAGGGAGGGGACAGAGGGAGGCACTTCTGTTAACATAGAAACTCTTCACTGGGCTCTCTGAGCTCCCTGTGATGGCATACAGAATTGGGGGGTGGGGGAGGTGGTGCAGTGGGCAGACCTGTATTTCTGGGGAGAGGAGCCATTGTTTCAGGGAATTTGTGGCTGGATTAAAGTTCTCCATTGTAAAAGCAGCTGTGAGCCAGGATATTAAAAGAGACCCGGGCCTTCCTTTTTCTTGATGTTGGCCCAAGGCCCCTCTTGTTGGTGGCTTCCTTTTATCCTTGAGGGATGGAGCTCTTGGCCCATCTCATACCAGTCAGCCCACCTATCAGTAACTGTTCTTTGATGCCTACTCTGTGCCCACTCCCATGTTTGGAAATATCAGATAAACCCCCGTCCCTACCCTGTGGGAGTCTGGGGATGGTCCAGGGCAAAGAGCACTTTTGGGTGTATGGGCCCTCTAATGCATCTGGCTGGGCCATTCAGTGAGGCTTGGCAGATGTGTTTATAGAAGCCTGGGCATATTAGAAACCCCAGGGCCCAGGGCCTGCAGAGTGTCATGCAGGAATCCCTGCTGATTTGACCAGTGAGGATGTCTGGCAGCATGAGAGCTTAGGAAACTCCTGCCTTCCTCCTCCCAAGCCAGGGGACAGCTGAGTTTCTCCACCTGTGGCCCTGACAGTCCTCTTCACTCTCCTGCCCTCTAGGCCGATACAAAGCAGGGGAAAAGGAGCCAGATCCCAAGACATGGAAGGCCAACTTTCGCTGTGCCATGAACTCCTTGCCAGACATCGAGGAAGTAAAGGACCAGAGCAGGAACAAAGGCAGCTCAGCTGTTCGGGTGTACCGGATGCTTCCACCCCTCACCAAGAACCAGAGGAAAGGTATCCAAAGACTCTGAGTCCTCAGGAAGCACTTAGGCAGGGAGGAAGGAAAGAGGGAGGGAGGGAGGGAGGCAGGTAACTGGGGCTGGTGTGTCTGAACCAAGGCTGACAGCCTATTTTCCGCACAGAGAGAAAGTCCAAGTCCAGCCGAGATGCTAAGAGCAAGGCCAAGAGGAAGGTGAGTGTGGTCCTAAGCAGCTAGTCTTTGGCCACCTGTGAGTCAGGCTGGGCAGTGGAAGAAGCGTCACAGCAGCCTGGTCTAAGCTTTTCTCCCTCTGCAGTCATATGGGGACTCCAGCCCCGATACCTTCTCCGATGGCCTCAGCAGCTCCACCCTGCCTGATGACCACAGCAGCTACACAGCTCAGAGCTACTTGGAGGTTGAGCGGGCCCTTACTCCAGGTGAGATGGACCAGGCCTGGCAGGGACCATACAGGTCAGGGGGTAGAGGGGTGGCTCTTTCTCTTGGATCTAGGAGACAGCATGTTTTTGGGTGGCCTGTTGGAGCAGGCTGAGGGGTAGGGGAAGCTGGGTGTCTTGCAAACTAAGAAAGCACATAGCTCTGACCTGCGGTTTCTACTGTCCTGAAGCACTGTCACCATGTGCTGTCAGTAGCACTCTCCCCGACTGGCACATCCCAGTGGAAATTGTGCCCGACAGCACCAGTGACCTGTACAACTTCCAGGTGTCGCCCATGCCCTCCACCTCTGAAGGTTTGTGCTTCTGGGGCCTGGCCTGCCTGCCTGACTGTTTTGGTCTTGGGAGAGGTTTCCTGGAGGAGAAAAGATGCTCAGAACTCCATTTGGCACAGAGCTGACTGTGGCAGGCTAGAGAGAAGAGGAAGGGGGGGGACAGGGGATGCATTTCGATCTTTGATTGCTGGTTCTCCTGGCTCCTCTGCAGCTCAGTCTCCGAGGGTAGGAAGGAAGTGAGGGAGAGGGAGGTGTGGCTTCAGGGTTTGGGAGGCTGAGTCACTAGGACAGAGTCCTGTTCTGGAATCTCCATGGCAGGCAGATGTCCACTGGGAAGTGTGTGTGTGTGCGTGTGTGTGTGTGTGTGTGTGTGTGCGCGTGTGTGTAGGTGCAGGGGGACCTCATGGGGCTGGAAGTGCAAGCCTGGCTGACTGCCAACCATCCTCTCTGCTGTTCCCATCCACAGCCACAACAGACGAGGATGAGGACGGGAAGATACCTGAGGACATCATGAAGGTAAAGTCCCTTCCTCCCTGGACACTCTTTTGAAGTAGCTGCTGCTCAGTGGGGAGAGAGAGAACAAATGAGAGCTTCCAAATTAGAGGGGAGGCAGCTACTGCTATGACCTGGCTGCTTGCGTAGTGCCACATCCATGAGGCTGGGGACCTCTGCCCTCTGTGGCTGGTAGGAAGACATTGCAGAAGTGAGGATGGGAGGGATGACTGGTTTCCAACAGACTGTCCTGAAGCAGGCGTCAGGGTTTCAGATAGCTCTGAGTCAGCCACCATCAGGACCAGGTCCCTGGCCTGTGTCCTCCGCCCCAACATGTCCCAGCCCTCCTAGTCTGAGAAATGCGCATCAGGTTTCAATAATCAGCCTTGGGGATCTGTGTTTTTTTTTAGTGAATTATCCTCCAGGGCTGTCTTTTTTTTTCCTGCTTCATCTTTCAAAGTAAATATAAAAAAGTTTTTGCAGCCCTAGCTGATTTGGCTCAGCAGTTGGAGCGCGGGTTCGATTCCGGTCAAGGGCATGTACCTTGGTTGTGGTTTGGTCCCAGGCCCTGCTTGGGGTCATGCAGGGAGCAGCCAGTCGAGGTGTCTCTCTCACATTGATGTTTTTCTCTCTCTCTCCCACTCTACCTGAAGATAAATGGAAAAAATACCCTCGGGTGAGGATTAAAAAAAAAGAAGTTTTGCAGTAGTTGTACGCAGGCTCTGTTCCAGAAAATTGAGGCATGGGCATAGTTCCTTATCCCTAGCTTTTCTAGTCATTTTTTTTTTTTTTTTTTTTTTTTACTTATTATGCTAGCCATTGCTTTAAGCCACACTCCCAGTTGTCATGTCCTTACCCAGTTGAGAGGAAAGTCTTGGCGATTCGGTGCCAGTGGTTTGTGTGGGAGTGTGAGTTCAAGGCATACCCTCACCTGCCAGGCCCCTCTCCCAGGTGAACTCATCTGTGTCCATCTGAGAATGTGAAAATGGCCAAAGGTGTGATCCTGGCTGGGAAGCTTTGGCTCACTGAGGGCAGGGCCACAGGGTAAGTCTGCACTAGCAGTGAGCTGATGGCCTCTTGTTCCTCTGTCTCTAGCTCTTGGAGCAGGAGCAGTCGGAGTGGCAGCCGACAAGCGTGGATGGGAAGGGGTACCTGCTCAATGAACCTGGGGCCCAGCCCACTTCTGTCTATGGAGACTTCAGCTGCAAGGAGGAGCCAGACAGCCTCGGGGGTAAGAAGTCCTTGAGGGAGAAGAGGGAACCATGTGGGGGCTGGAGGAGGGAAGGCTTGGGGTAGGGCCAGGGAGCAGCAGAGTTTAAACAGCTTTCTTCAACTCATCAGGATACAAACAGCTTAAAAAGTGGCTGTTGCTCCCATGCCTTTAAGTTTGCCTAAAGATGAGGAGTGTATGGCCGTGGGATGGACATCAGGGGCTGCTGTGCGGCCTTCGGGGATAAAGGTGAGGGAGGACACACCTCCCACCCCCCTCTTCACACAACCTTCTTCACATCTTCTAGGGGATATCGGACTAAGCCTGCACCGCGTCTTCACAGACCTAAAGAACATGGACACCAGTTGGCTGGACAACCTACTGCCCCCAGTCCGGCTGCCCTCCATCCAGGCCATTCCTTGTGCACCATAGCTGGGTCCCTGGCTATGTTTTGCTCTCCTAGGCGAGCAGGACCTGGCATTGTGGTGGCTGTGGTGCAAAGAAGCAAGACTCCTGTGGACCTCTTGACATGCAGAGTGTGACCCCACTGCCAAGTGGGGATGAGGCCGCCCTCCTTGGGATGGTGGCTTTTCAGGGCCTGGCAGGACAGGGTCTGGGCTCATCTTGTGGGGTAAAGCTGGCCCTGCCTCCCGGGAAGATGGGGTTCTGAGACGGGTGTCAGGTGGAGATCTTGGACGAGTCAGCCCTCCAGGTTTCCCTCTGAACCCAGCTGCCTGGAGAGGGTCTCGCTGTCACTGAGCTGGCCTGAGGGAACAGACCAGTGACCTCAGAAAAGCACAGCACCAAGCCCAGGGCTGGCTCTGCACTAAAAGACAATTGCACTAAGTGAACCTACTCCCAAAGAATGCCTCCCTTCCCAGCTGAGCCCTGGGCACTGTTCCAAAGCCAGTGAAATGTGAAGGAAAGATGGGTCCTGCAGGGCAGTGTTCCCTCAGCCTCGGGAGCCCTGCCCTGCTCCCTGCTCCCTGCTCCCTGCTCAGGCTGAGAGGCTCAGGGAAAAGCATGGCACTTTTTCTTGTGGATCTTGCCACATTTCTGATCAGAGGTGTACACTAACGTTTCCCACAGGCTCTCAGCCTTTGTATTTATTTATACAGTGCCTTGCCCTGCGCCCACCTGCCCCTCGTGCAGGCCCCCGCAGCCCTCAGCAGGCCCAGGGAGAAAGTGTGAGCACCTTGGTGTGACTTTTAAAATTGGAAAAGCCTCCTAACCACTAAGTCATGTATGACCACATATGTACATGTGTGTAAATATGTACATTGTATTTTTATAAAAAGTTAATTGTTCTAAGGGGTGTGGTCTTTTATTTAGAGATAATTTGTAGATGAGTTTACTTTCTGAAGAGACATTCTGATGGACTCATTCTTGGCATCCTGCCTGGGCTTGACTGTGATGAGGGGACATGTGCCTATTGCAGAATCCTTTCAATTATGTTCTTGGAGAAGAGGGCAGGGGGAGGGGACAGCCGCAGCCCTGCTCATGTAAATGCAGTCACGGGCCCTTGGCTTTAGAGCCAGGGCTGTGAGCTCCGGGGGACTGGGGAGTGTCAGGTTTTGAGTTCTGAGGAATGTGCCATGGACTGTGCCACTGAACTGAAATGCAGGTGCACTCAGGTACTACTCCCAAAGGTAAACAACTGGTACAGCACTGTCGTGGACAATCAGAACAGACACCAACTCAGAAGAGGTTCCCGCGGCTGCTGTGCGGGGCACTGCTGTCCCACTTCTGCCGCAGTGGAAGGGGCTCTGCAGTTGGCAGAGGCAGTCACATGTGCCAGCTGAGTATTTGAGATGTGGCCAGTGCAATGGAGGAACCAAATTTTAAATTTTATTAGTTAAATTTAGCCACATGTGACTAGTATCTACCATATTGGACAGTACCGGTAGATACTGGATTGGTGACAGATCTGAGGGGTGGGGGTGGGGTGGGGAGAGAACACTGGGGACGGGGCTCCAGGCTATTTACCTGCCAATTAGTATTTTACTGTTTTGCCAGCCAACAACAACTATCGGTGCTGAATACCAGCCCTGCATTGTACTGTGAAACAGGTCTGTGCACAGTGTGTTAGGAAAACCTTGGATGACCTCACATGAAGCAGGTGTCCCTCCACGACTTTTCAGGATCTGGCCCAGCTACTGCACACAGAATCTCTCTGAAGGGGTATATTGGTCAGAATAGTGTTTCTGAAAACCGCAGGCTGAGAACCACTGACATATGGCAAAGTCCCCTTCAGCTAAGGCCCAAGTCCCAAGAATGTCTGAAGGTGAGAGGTCTGGATATGGGCTTTTCTCATCTCCTTCCCCAGTCTTGGGCATAAACACTACCCAGCAGTAGGCAGGCTGGCCAAGGGAAGCCAGCTGGCATCACTAGCATCATCTAGGGAATTCGGCCATGGCAGGAAGGGGGTTGCCCAGGGAAACCAAGCCCTCTGGACACATCTTCCATATACTTAGTCCTAGAAACCACTTGCACTGTGATCCTCTCTTTGGACCCAGCCCTCTGGAAGGAGTGTGGGCCCTTGGTGGGGAAGGGAAGACTGAGTGAGAAAACGAGAAAACTGGAAAATGAGCGAAGATCAGCTTGACATTCTCTGCCAAGCTATAGAAGTGTTGTTCCCTCATCTTGGACATGAAGTGTGAGTGGCAGATGCCCTTCTGCTGGGGGAGAGTTTTCTGCATATGGATAGGCCTCAAGCTCAAGCCCTGCCCATCAGAAGATCCACTTGTTGCTTTTTGTTTGTTTTTGTTTTCTTTCAAGAGTAGCCTCACCTACAGGGCAGAGGGATGGATAAGATGACCTTTCCTGGCTCCTCCAGAGCCAGCCCTTACTGAGGAGAATTGGGTTGGGATGACTAGCCTCCTGTTACTTCTAAAAGGGGGCTTGGCAAGGTCTTCTAGTGGATGGCTTTTCCAGATAATGATGGCTGGGGGTGGTGTGAAGCCAGGTAAAGTGGACTGAGGAGAGATGGGGGGAAGGAATGTAACCCAGAGCAAACAGGGACTACTTCTGACTTTTCTCTGTCCTTCAACCTCATCCCTGACAGAGTATGTTGAAGTGGGTATATTGAAGTCCCAGGTAGCCATGGAAATCTCAAGTTCCAATATACAAAGTTCATTACCAAACAAGTTACCGAAAAGGGAGAGGAATTCCATCCATCACCCAATCTCTAGAGCCAAGCTAGAGTCCTGAGTTCTTCTCATCCCAGGAGTCCTAGGGACTCCTTCTCATCCCAGGGACCAACTCCTTGAAATGTCCTGTACCTACTCCCCATCATCACGGAGGACTAGCGTGGGATAGCTAGAGCCAGACCTTCCAGGGTGGTGAGCTGGCCCACCATCCCTCCCTCCACAGGCGTGGTCCCTGGGTGTGGGGGAGGGTCACCGGGAAGGCACCCACACACTGCTCTTCCTAGGTCTTCTGCCTCTGAGTGGCTGGTCAGAGTGGTCGCCCTGCGGGCCACACCACCAAGGGCTTCAGCCTATGCCTAACAGTAGAAACAGTGGAGTCTGACTGTTCACCTAAGAGTGATGGCAGCTGACACTAACTCATTAGTTAGAAGGTGCCACATCAGTGGAACAACATCAGTATAATCTGAGCCAAATTTGGGTGTAATAATTTAAGGTCATTCTAAGAACCTGCCAATGATTTTGTGGGTCATTCCAAGAGTTTCAGACTAAGCACTGAAGGTGGAAATTCTTGGCTGAGGGAGCTAGGAGGTCATTGAAATATCTGTTTTGTTGGGGTTGTGATGATATCACTGTCATCATGAACCACTTTCCAGTGGGGTAAATTGGCTCAGTCACACCAGCTAGAACTCCTGCCAAGTCTGCAGATGTGAAAAGGCATTTCTAGTTAGTTGCAGGGTTTCCTTGCCTTACTCCAAAGGCGTCACTTTAACTGGGCTGGCTTATTCATTCAGCTCACTTGGCAATAGGAAGGAAGCTACAGGCTAATATGCTAGCTGCCCATACAGAGGCTCACGGTGGCCGGAGATCTTCAGGGAAGACAGCTGCAAATTCTTTCTTCTTGGTATATTGGTTTTCACCATCTCTCAGGGCACTGCCTGCAGGATAAGAGCTTTCTCAGGTCTCTCTGGAAGCCTCAGGTGGGGACTAGGACAGAACTGAAGTCCTAGGAAAAGTCCAGGGCTTGGTTGAGGTGGAGTCCTTTCCTTTGGAAGTGATGCCCAGGCTTTCATTCTCTGGAACCATTTGGTCTTCTTTCACTGTTTGCACAGATCCCCAAATCCTTGTAGCAGTGGGGAACAAGGAACCCTGTTGGAGCATTCAGGAAGCTTTGCCTCTGTCGGCTGTAATGCCCTTTCTTAACTTGGGTATGACTAACCTCCACTGTGAGGATGCCTGAAATTCATCAGAACTCTGCACTAACCATTCCCCACTTGTACTATTGGTCACAAGGGCAGGAGCCTGGGGAAGGAGAACGGGGAGCCGGTGTACTCTCTTTTCCAGGAGTAAAAGTTCTGGGAAGAGTGAGACTCGTCTTTTCAGCCAGGTCTCCCAAATCTAAGGCAGCACAAGGGAATCGCTGGTTGGCCACATGCTTTTCTTAACTCCAGGCAGCTCTCCAGAGACCCCTTCCTGATGCTTTTCTGGCGGTGGGGAGTTGGAGAAGAAGCTCCTGCCGCTCTGGCCGGTTTGGCTCAGCGGTTAGAGCATCAGCCTGCGGTCCAGAGAGACCCAGGTTCGGTTCCCGCTAAGGGCGCGTACCTCGGTTGCAGTTTGTCCCCGGCCCTGGTCGGTCATGCAGGTAGCAGCCACTCAATGTGTCCCTTTCACGTCGATGTTTTTCTCTCTCTCTCTCTCTCCCCCTCCCACTCTGAACAAAAAATGGAAAAATGTCCTCGGGTGAGGATAAAAAAAAAAAGAAAAGTAGCCCCTGCCTCTGCAGGCTCCAAGGTGAGGTGGGCCTAGAGAGTCTATGCAAATAGTGTAGTTTCAACTGGGGAGATACTGAAGGCGCTAAAGCAAGGACATGGTGACCAAGCAGGAAGAGAGGCAGACGTCCGGCCCACCATTCCTTATCCAGCTCCACAAGCTCAGAAATGAGCAGAACTAGAAAGGACCTCAAAGTCTGGCTGGGTAATGATAACATAGTCCTTGAGTGTTCATGTTGCACCAGGCACTGTGCCAAGCACCCCATACTCACCATGACTCTGGCACCCGCCATAGCTTCTTGTTCACAGACCAGGAAACCAAAGCTCAACTGGCATAAGGCGTTTGCCTAAGATGACTCAGTTAATCAGTATGGGGCCTGGATTCCAGCTCACATCTGTCTGTGCCCAAAACCCAGACTGCTTCCACAATATCAGGCTGCCTGCAGAGGAGGAAACTGAGGCCTGGAGAGGAAGTTTGGGAGAGCTTGCCCAGGAGCAGAGCACTAGCACCTTATGTCAAGAGAGCCTTTGGGGACCCAGAGAGAAGGCAGCAACAGCTGCAGCTGCTCTGGACACTGTACAAGACCCCGCCTTCAGCTCTTGTGACCTCCCATCCAGGGAACATGGTTCTGCTGCTACAGGCCCCAGGGTCCCAGTGGGGTAGGCCTTGGCTTGGTTCTCCAGGAGAGCAATGCCCCACCTCTGTCCTGGAGGTCACCTGCAGTTTGGAAGGTGGGGCCCCAGGAGGGTGGGACACAGCCCGTCTGTAACTTGGCCTCAGTGCAAGGGTAGCTCTGCCGCGTATTCTGTTTGTGAACCAGCTCCCAGTTGCAGGGGACTCTGGCCTTTTCGCCCTTATCTCAGCTCTAGGGATCAAAGAGGACCTTTCAGCATGCCTGTCTGAGCAATGTGAACAGAGTTCTGTTCTGCTCAAAACCAAACCGTTTGTGGGATCCTGGGGTCTTCAGAGGTCTGGACTCTGGTGACTGTCCAGCCAGAAACACTTGGGGTGCATCCTAACTCCCAGCCACATGGCTGGGACCACCCTGTGGCTATTGTGAGTCTAATCTGGGCTTCTTGGTCCCTGAGAAAACCTAGCACTTCTGACAGGGGCTGGTGGCTGCCCTACATCAGGTGGATGCTCAAACTCATTTGCAGGTTTTCTTCAGGAGACTTGCTCTGCCCTGCCCTCCGGACCCAGCTGACACGCAGCGGGTGGGGCCCTCACTTCTATTTCTGTTCAAATGCCTCGCACTGGCCTGGGTTCCCTTCTTGGTTTCTGCCCTCAGCTTTTCATTAAAAGCCAGGTGGCTGTGAGGTGACTAGTTCTGCCACCACTTCTCCTCATACTGTCAATGGGAATCTGCCCAGAATTGGAGCAGGAGCAAGGAG